GGCAACACCTACTGGGATTCGATTAAATCGACGCAAAAGCCAAGCTTATCTCCAACCTTTACCTTCCCACGCGTATCCGCCACCGATAAAGACATGGTGAACACCGTATGAATATGAGCTGGTTGCCTTGTGGGAAACGGCAAGTCGAATAATAAATAATATCGTAGTTGATATAATGCGTCAGTGTTGGAATCCGATCGAAAGGTCGCTTTCATTTGACCGTATATCGAGATTACGGTTAATTACGATCATTACCGTTCATCGTGTAATAACATTTTGTGCCCTCGATTCGAATTTTCACAGTGCGTAGAAATGATTTACTCTTTTCTCGTTTAGACATTTGTATATAACTTATGTATGTATTAAATCTATAGATACGTAGATACATTACATACGTAGATATATATGTATGTATATTTATATATGTATATTCTTTTATTTCTCTTTGCTTTTCATAAGTCACTTTCGAAATCATTATTTATTTCTGCCTTCCTTCTTTTCTTCCTTCCTTCCTTCTTTCTTTCTTCTTTTTTATTTTTTTTTTCGTTCGTGTTGTTGCTTTTTTCTTTCTTTCTTTCTTTCTTTCTTTTTTTGTCCTTCGATGGACCAAAACGCCGACAAAAGAAAGTGAGTTTCCAATTGATAATGACGGTTACGAGGGCACTTTCGATTCGTCCACGTTCGAACTTATAATTACTATTTGTCTCGTTTTTTCGTTACCGGCCAGAACAACAGATAAGGGCCTTTCTTCGATCGCCGCTGGCGACGGTGGAAGGATCGATTACAGAGAGGACGCGAGGTGGTCCAATTCTCGCCGTGAGAGATCGAGAGAGCGAAAGAGATTTAAAGCGATCGGTAAGAAGTTGTCTGATCCTCGTTCTTCTTCGTGGGTGCGAAGAAGGGAATCCCTGTCCTTTGCGTCCGTCCGTACGTCGGATTAAGACGTACGAGTTATACGTTCGGGATTTGGAAAGTAAAAAAGGAAAAAAGAAAAAAAAAAAAAAGAAAAAGGTAGAAAAAAAAAGAACGTCGACTGAAAAAGTTTCAAGTCATCGCGATCTCGTACTGTTAATCGTCCCAACTGCCGGATTAGTATCAAATCCGAAAAGTCCCGATGGGAATTAAAAGAAACAGCGTGCTGATGTTTCCGTCCAGCGACCTCATTGAAACAAATTCTCTCGAGCGTATCGGTGCTGTCCTTTTATCCCCCTTTAACAAGGATTTATCGTTTTATATCTTGTCTAGTAACTCTTGCTTTCATCGAGTGTGAGTCTTTCTTTACTCGAAATACAACTACTAAGTTCTTTTTATTTTCCTTCTTCTTCTTTTTCAAAACTTGCAGGTCCACGGAAATAGAAATGAGAGAGAAAGAAAGAGAGAAAAAATAAATAAATAAATAAATTAAAAATGTCAAGTAGCTCTCTTTCTCTCTCTCTCTCTCTCTCTCTTTCTATCCCTCTAGTATACGCGCCATCGATCCTGATCTCGTTCGGTTCGCGGAGGTGTAAAATTATGACGCACGTCCTGGACCGGTTTTAAAACGTCGACATTCTTTTTGTTTTCGAACGTAACAGTCGTATATGTTTCATGAAAAATATCACCAAAAGTTTAATGAATTTTAAAAGAGAGATTGAAATAAGTAACTACCTATATCTATTTACAAATTGTTCAGAGATCGCTATCGTACGGTTAACATGACAAGGATTCTCCAAGCAAACGCACAGTAGCACAGACTCGATTAAGTTCGATTTCAAAGCGTATGTATAAGTTGAATGCACGTAAATCAGTGGGGTCGCGCCTTTAAGCATCTAACAACGCACACCTCAACGACCGAGCGCGAATGTACCCTTCAATGTTTTAAATGGCAACGCATACGAGAAACGGGACAACGGGATACGCACACGATCAAGTTAAAAAGATTTCGCCTCGAGTGTGAGTCGGACCGCGAGCTATTTTCATTTTTGCTGGGAGCTAGTATCTAGGCGCAAAAAAGGCAACGAGCCAGACAATCGTTCTCGCCCACGCCAATACGTATGCGACAACGGTGACGACGAATTGCGATTCGCCTCAACAACGAACATTGGTCCTTACAATCCTCACCTCCTTCACTTTCCATAGAGTATTGTTCGCTTTGCTGACTTAACAATAAGTGACGAAACTCACAGATGCCACGCGAGAAACCTGACTTACGAGCTACTATCTGGATCTACTTGTTCTATAATTCTATGAAAGAGACGACAACTCGTTCATGTAGCACGTGCTCGTAGAATATTTTAACGCTTGATATTATACCAACGCATTATGCTCTCTCTTTCTCTCTCTCTCTCTCTTTCTCTCTCTCTCATATAAAGAACGAAAATACGTATATGTATACTTTGGATTCAAGAAAGATACTCATCGTATATACGTTCGATTTGTAAACAAAAATTTATATGCCTGATCATTATCGAACGGGAGGATCACGCGAAATGTTATGCGTGGAAATCGCGATCATAATCATTATAATGAAGAATATTCGCAAAGTCGTTGCTCAATACGCAATGGCTCAAGGAATTTTCTCAGGGGCTACGAACGATTTTCGCGTGCGTAAAGATAATGTTTTTGTATAAGAAAGTGGGTATTTACGAGAAGGCTTGCATCGCCGTGTCTCGGATAATTTGCGACTATGCCCGGTGGCGTTGGTCGTTCGTGAAAAAGTATGAAAGGAGGAACGACCCGCATCGAAAGAGAGTCACGACGAGATCCATCGTCGAAAGGCAGGGCCGTAACGTAACTGAAACACGCGTTTACCGGCACTTTATTGTTGTAACACGAGTGAATAATGAATATGCAAATGAACGTACTGTCACGTTAGAGTTCTTTTCTTATTTCGTTCTTCTTCGTTCGAACGTGCGTGTGCGTTTAAATCCCATCGCTAACTTTTACCAATTAACTCGACTTCGTTTTCTCTAAAATCGAAGGAATAATATATGTGTGTCACGATCGATGATGAAAGATTAATAAGAACTAATAGAATTATTATTTGATGGGTTAAAAGTTTTACAAAATCCAATGCCCGGCAAAAGTAAAGAAGTAGAGAGAAAGATAGATATATAAATAGATAGATAAATAGAGAAAAACAGAGAAAGAGAGAGAGAGAGAGAGAGAGAGAGAGAGAGAGTGAAAGAGAAGATAAAAAATGGTAAGTCTAATAAGCATTACCATGAAGGTAATCGATCGAGAGAAAATAATATATCAAAAATGTAGCTACCGGAGGTCTGATCTCAATGAGGCCCGGAGGGTGCTCGATACAAGATAGGTACGCATCAACTTATGGTGTATCATCAGTCTGGTAGACGAGTTGGTGCAGGAGGTAAGAGACGTTCGTTAAATCACCAATACCTACAGGGTGTTTCAAAAATATTGGAAGGGTGATTATATTGAATTGAAATATTTCAATAACGATAAAATATTATTATATATTAAAATGTTGAAGGCTATTAGATAAATGGATATACGATTGTATCGAAGAAAATATATATTTCATTGTTCATACGATACAATTTTAATGTCTTATTATACACCCTGTATAAGTGGACTCTTGTAAACGCACACGTATTTGTAGGCACACGCACGAGACGCACGCCGAAAGTAACTGACGAAGAAAAAAGACGAGGTGATTATCTTTCTCTCTGCTCGGCCGAGTCCAATAGATAGGCAGGGTAATGCCGAGCGATTTTGAAAACGTGACGCGCGTGTCTGAGCGAAGAAGGCGCGTGGTATCTCTTCCGATAATTCCCTTCTTGGCTTGATACGAGTCCGTTTATTTTTACTTTTTTCGTACGTCCTATGTATGTAGGTAGGTATATGCGAAGGGACTGATAGATATACTACGTAAGATTCGCGTAGAACCGGAAGGCTTATATTTACCTCTTAAAAATTAGATACAACCAGATCGATCTGTAATTTTTTTTCTTTTCTTTTTATCTTTCTTTTTTCTTTTTTTTTTTCTTTTTTTTTTTTGATTTTACAAAAAGGACAAAAAAGAGAAAGGAAACCTTCTAAGAAATTTTAACGTCCACGGAGAAAAGTGAGAAACATAGTTCGAGTGTAAAAAAAGAATCCAAACGAAGAGGAAGAGTAGGAGATAAGAGAGAGAGAGAGAGAGAGAGAGAGAGAGGGGGGAGGAGAAGAAGAGGGAGAGCGGTTTATACTGATAAACATGTGTAGCTTTTAGCGAGGCATCCCGAAGATGGTATCTCTCGTAAAATATGCCCCCGGGAGACAATATTAACTGCTACGCGCTTCTGCAGGTATCTTTGCCACGCAACCCCTCGGTCCTTAGCACCCAAAAGAGGGATCCACCCTAATGAACTATAGACTCGCAAGAACGCGCAAAATCTTGCCAAATGCCTCACCCCCTTCCACTTTTATTCTTTCATTTTCTCTCTTTCTCTCTCTATCTCTCTCTCTCTCTCTCTCTCTCTCTCTCTCTCGCGTGCGCGCGCGCGTACCACTGAATTATCGCCCGTCCAAATCCTTCGCGGCTCCGCGACGGTAATTAAGCGCGTTTAATTATTGTTATTCCTTGCACGCGGGTGGCGATCTCGCAGTCGCTTTATGACCGTGCGCCTTCCTTCCTTTGACCTTTCCCTTTAACGTTAATGACCGTCGGTACTCACTGCCGTTCGTTAGAGAGAGAGAGAGAGAGAGAGGGAGAGAAATAAAATAAAATAAAATAAAATAAAATAAAATAGAATAAAATAAAAAAAAAATAAAGGACATACGAAGAACAAAAAATATACACGAGATAATCTCGTACCTCTCTAAAATTAATTCCTCGAAAAGTCGCATCGATATCGGTATTTGGTATTTAAAAACAATTTTTAATAGGTACGTTGCTAAATGTATAAATTATTATTTTTACATATTTCGTTTACATTTCGTTAGAATTTGTTACATATATATATATATATATATATATATATATATATATATATATGTGAAAATGAGATCCTCTTATAAAATTTCTTCAGTTAATTTTCTTTTATCTTTCCTTTTGCTTTCCTTGATACTTTTTATTCGAGACGGTCGCAGCATTCTCCAAGAAAAGCGGGATACTTTGCTCGCATTAATAAACGCCGTATCAAGGTCTCATCTATGGAATCTCCGGTACGTAACAATGACGTACGGACCTGTTATAGCTTACTGATGTCATTGCACGGCGCCGCCATAACTTCGAGTTCTTTCTCTCCCTCTCCTTTACTTCTTCTTTTTCTTCTTCTTTTTTCTTCCCTTGAGACTTCAGAATGTCCATTCTCGCCCCTCGGCGAAGAGAAAAAGATTAAAGGAGAAAGAGAGAGAAAGAGAGAGAGAGAGAGAGAGAGAGAGAGAATGCCAGGCGATTATGCGTCCTGATACCGGTCCGGTAGCGCGGCAAGGACTCTCCAGAACTCTCAAAGGAAAAAACCGAAAAAGCGTTCATTGTCGTTCACCGCCACCGCAGCCTCCGTTGGTCCATGCTGTAAGAAAATAAGGGAGAATTAATCGGTCTCAGCGATTCCTCGCTTGTAGAAAGAGAAAGAGAAAGAGAAAGAGAGAGAGAGAGAGAGAGAAAGAAAGATAAAATGATAGCCGAGATCTCATGTCCCTTATCGAATCATTCACCGTTATAACATAAAAAATTTTTTTAGGATTCAGTAATAATGATTTTGTCAATTTTACACGATAAAGAATAATTGTATCCCTCGATAGAAAATATTTACGAATTATTTAATGATGTTTATCTAATTAAACTTTATTAAAGAATTATACGATAATGTTACATTATTATTATAGGCTAGTTCTATTCCCTATTCGTACTTATATGTAACTGTACAAAATTACTGAAGAATTTATACGAAAAAAAAAAAAAAAAAAAAAAAGGAGAAAAAGAAAACCTTCGCCTCCGATATGAATTATTACCTATAGGAAGAACAAAACGGAATTCGAAGTATCTTCGTTCTTACGTCCCACGCGTTTCCACGAAAAGCTCATTTCCCAAGTTTAAAAATCAATGGAATGATGCGGAGAGCTTGGAAGGAGTATTAGAGCTTAGTTTTTTGACGTATCCACTCGGCGGCACGTAGGCAATTTCAAGATACGACCGAGGAGCAAAGCGTTCATTGTCTATGAAGGTACGAGTTAAAGCTCTTTCCTTCGGCTTTTATAGTTGACTCGTCTTTTCTCTTTCTCTCTTCCTGTAGTGGCAGGTGGAGGCGTATGCATGTATGTGTGAACATATATATATATATATATACTATATACACCATACAATGAGAGACGAGTTGGAGATGCGTACGCCGTATCGCGAAGAAGATGAAGAAGAAGAAGAAGAAGCAGAAGAAGCAGAAGAAGAAGAAGAAGAAGAAGCAGAAGAAGAGGAGGCGTAGGAGGGGGAGGAGGAAGAGGAAGAAAAAGAAGAAACGGAAAGGAGGAAGAGCGTATATACGTTCGCGTATAGGTATATAGAGGGCAATGCGATTGCGTCTTGACTCTCTCTCTCTCTCTGTATATATATATATATATATCTATCTCTATCTCTCTCTTCCTCTTTCTCTATCTCTATCTCTCTCTTCCTCTCTCTCTCTCTCTCTCTCTCTCTCACTCTCTCTCTTTCTCTTACTCTCTCTCTCTCTCTCACTCTCTCTCTCTCTCTCTCTCTCTCTCTCTCTTTCTCTCTTTCTTTCTCACGATGATGATGACCGAGCAAGCTGGGCATGAGTCTGCTTCTTTTACGCGTTCATAATTGAGATAATCTTTACCGACCAAGAGGTGGACCGACGGTATGTGGATTTTTGCGATCCGAGATTTCCTTTCCCTTATACTCGACTGCCGTTACGTCGACGCCGATCGACGTACTGTGGATTTAGATTAGAACGTTAACGAGACTGCCACCTTGATATTCTCACATGAGGCCTCATATAAAATGATCGCGATAGTATTTAAAAGTACGTTCGAAGATTCTTAAGTCTCATGGATATTCTATCTTTCTTTATCATTCTCTTAAAGATTTTTAGTCGATCTTTTTATATTGCTATGAACTATCACGGCGTACCACTCCCGTAATTGCACGGACAATGATTTCTCTTAAAACGATAATAATTGCCACGCACGGTTCGGCGAAACATTTACTACGGTAAAGGAAGCGAACGATTCCATAGAGAAGCGAATAGGTTTAATCAGGAACAAGCAAAGCCGACCTATCTACTTAGCGCGTCTAGTTTTTACTTAAAGAATAACGTATCCGTTAAAGAGTAACATTTACTTTATCCTAGCTCATGAAAGGAGTTCGACATGATACTCGACGATAATTATATACTTTCACAGAAGACCCCTGAATCCCTAAACGGAGTCCATCAATCGAAAAGTTATCATCTGACTCGACTGATTCTCTTTTCTTTCAATCTACAAGGAAATCGGAAGCACCGTTACGCAGCATCTTTTCTAAAGGACTCCACTCTCTCTCTCTCTCTCTCTCTCTCTCTCTCTCTCTCTCTCTTCTTCGTCTATCTATTCTCTTTCTCCCTCTATTACTCTTATCTAGATCGCATTGTGCGACCACTTGGATCTATCACCCTCTACAATGGGCTCGCAATCAGGAAGCTGTCCACCGTAATCTTCTCGATACTGTAACATTTCCTTTTCGACAAAACGTCCTTTGACGTATCCTATTAAGGCCGTCGAGGTACATCATTCACGAGAACGGCAATAGTCCTCGAAATAGAGTAATTTTTTTAAAGAACGATCGATTACTGATAACGAGGGACGGATTAACAAGAAATTTTAAGAATCAAATATTTTATAATGTTCTAATTATAATAAACCGCGACAAATTTCTGCTTACGGCATTTATCAGTTTTTCTTTTCTTTTTTTTTTTTTTTTCCATTGAAATAAATTAGACGCTGGAAGGAGCTGTTAGAGCAAAGCGAAAATAATTATAATCAAAATTCGAAGTGACAATAATCGAAATGAAATAATATCTGTCCATTGTACTGGTATTGTTAATCATACTTGGACGTTCTTATCCTTTGTTCAACGTGGCATAGGCACTGCGATAGGCAAGTCGAAAGAGGTGAGGCACCTGCCTCCGGGAGATGCGACATGGCTCCTGTACATACGCTCCGTTCAGCAACTCTCATTCTCGGAATCATTTGTTTTTCAATATCAATTAAAAAAAACAAAAAAAAAACAAAAAAAAAAACAAAAAAAAAACAAAAAACAATTCTTATTGATTTTATAGGAAACGTAGAAAACTTTAACCTGTAGTCTAAATTTAAACAAAGTTTTCAACTTACATGGTTCTCCCATTAAAAAACTCACGCAATGTCGACGTTTTTCACAGGAAAGCAAACCGAGGAAAGGTGAAGCACGCAAGTTCGATGAAACGAAGAAAGAACAAAAGAGAGAGAAAGAGAGAGAGAGAGAGAGAGAGAAAGAGAGAGAGAAAGAAAGACACAAAGCCAAAGAGGAGATCGATGTCGAACGTCGTCGACCAGGTGCTTCCACGCAAGGAACCCGGACGAGCTTGTAGATACGTGTAGGTAGAAACCACGTTCGTATGAGAACCACGATGATTGGACCCAATTACAGGTGGCGCGGGCGTTCTCCGTACGTTCTTGTGTCTCTCGACGAGGGCCTCGATGGGCCCCGTCGAGGGGCCTCGGCGCGTTCGCTCTCTTTCTCCGAGACCGCAAGGTCCGCCTATGCCGTGTACGAGCCTCTGTGTTTCTTGGCAGGTGTATACACGCATTTCCCTTCCCTTCCACCACCATCACCATTAACGGCACCCTCTCCATCGACTTTCGAACCACCACCAGCATCTCTCCTCGAGTTTGCCTCTCTCCACCGCCCGCGCCAAAGAAAATTAAACCCCACTTAACTCGCTGATTATCGTTGTCACGTACGAGCGTCGTTCTCCTCTACTGCACGCCAGGAAAAGAGAGAGAGAGAGAGAGAGAGAGAGAGAGAGAAAGAGAAAGAGAAAGAGAAAGAGAGAGTGGAGCCGGTGAACGAGCCGCGTTCTCTCAGACTTGCCGGCAAAAACCCCGCCCGGAGAACCAACGCGAAAAAAGGATGAAAGGAAGAAGATGGAGAAGACGAGCGGTACCTTGAGTAGGTGGGAAAGAGAGAGAGTGAGAAAGAAAGAACGAGAGTAAGAGAGAGAAAGAGAGAGAGAGAGAGAGAGAGAGAGAAGCACGCGGCACACACTGGACTCCGGTTCTCTGTGAAATTGAATTTCAATTCCAAACGACCGTGGGCGCGTCCCTTTCCCTCGCCTCCCACTCATCCGTCCGTCCCTTATCGCATTTTCTGCAAGACTTTTGCTCGCGCTTTTTGCTCCGTCGAGGTTTAATGACGTTCCATGCGAGAGAGATATTTCCAGAGTTTACGTCCACCGTCTTTCTTACGTTCTTTCAAATGTTTTTTATTGGACTTTTTTAACTCGATCGTTCGAGTGTTTCTACTCGAAAGGAAGATCATTCTTAAATGATCATCGGCGAGTTTACTACGAGATAATATTCAAAGGAACTTTCTTTCGAAGAGTGTTCGTTGAAAAAAGGTCATTTACACTCTCGTAACTAAGTATATCGAGACGGGTCCGGGACAATTATCTCGTCATTAAATTTCTTACAATGAGCGTAGAGAAGTCGTGATGGAATATGGGTAGAAATAGAAGAGGAAAATATCATAGTGGATCTTTCTCGGTGTAATGAATTCCACCCTCAATGGGTAATCACGGGTCTCGCTGAAATCGTCCTATCTTCTTTTCTCTTCGTGGCAACCGATGGAAGAGAAACACAAAGTAAGGGAGAAGGAAGAAGATGAAGATGGAGGATGAAAGAAGAGTGAGGTAAGGTTCCGAGAGCCGGAGGAAAGGACCGAGGGAAGAGGGTGGCTCTGCTTTGGACCCCCACCCCACGCAAAGAAGCGAAAAGAAACGAAAGAGAGAGAGAAAGAGAGAGAGAGAGAGAGAGAGAGAGAGAGAGAGAGAAAGAGGAGACGAGTCCCTGGAAATAGCACTTAGGGCTCCCATACGTGGCTCGGATGATACCCTAGAAGGTAGCCGCAACGGCAGCCGACGCTGCCGGCGTGGTAATGTTTTAGTGCACGGAGGAGGCGGAGGCGTGCTCTGGTAGTTAGCTTCGCCTGCATCGTCGCTTCGTTGGCGTGCATCGCCGTTGTTGTTGTTGTTGTTGTTGTTGTTGTTCCTACTGCCATTGCCGTTGCCGCCGCTGCTGCCGCTCTGCCGAGTTTGTCCGGTGCATCGAGGGAGCCAGCGCACGCTATCATTAGGAGAAGCAAGAACGAGGCTACGGTAGGAGGATGGATGAGATGGACGTCCCATCCTCGCACTCTTCTTACCTCCTTGTCCTGCTTCTGCCTTTTCTTCTTTCTTCTCCTCTTCTTCTTTTGCTCCTTCTTCTTCTACCTCTTCTTCTTCTTCTTCTTCTTCTTCTTCTTCTTCTTCTTCTTCTTCTT